ACGTAATCAGGACAAGGCCTAAAGGATTATGAGCTGCTCTAGAAGCATTGCAATATGCTATATAGGTATTTTTCTACCATTGAGTCAGTTTATAAAGACAAAAAAGTGATTCATTCAGCCGCTTAAAAGTGATTTGAATATTCCTGAGTAGCCTCTCATGAAAAGAGTCAAGGCACAGTAAATTGCGGAACACGGAGCTGTCACGGTGAATCACAACAGGGGGAGAGATGCTAATATCACTTGAGAACCTTCAAAAATAGGTTTCAGCTCATTACGTGCAGATAGAGCTAGCCAGGATGATGATGTGCAACTTAATAAGCAATTAAATAGTACATAATGCAGTTAGTAAAAGGAGGTCACCTTGTCAAATGTAATTAGATGGATTAAGTAGGTTAAGGTCAAGTTCATGCCATAATTTCAAATATACATGTAGTAGTGATTAATCTCGGAAAACCAATTAGAATGATAGTTTAACAATGAGCTTAAGTAAATAGACATCAATGTATCTCACCCTGTTACTTTGGATATTGACGGTTTATCATGTTACATATGCATGTTCAGATCTTCAACTTTTTCAGATGGGAATTAAAATGTACTAAAATTAATTGAGAAGACAAGAAAGACCCCCCCCCCCCACATCTGTATGAATGTGTTCTTGCATGGCTATAAGTAGTTTTTGAGTGCGGTAATTTATGCTCATAATTGGTAGCTGAGCAGCTGTGAAGTTTTCATATTTCATTTGAATGTAAACATTAATGTCATCATTACCAAGCGTTCCTGATTTCCCATTCTAGCATTTAAAAACTATTTTGAATACTTTGTTGGTAAAGTATTGTGAAAATGCTTGGATGGGACCATGCAATATTTTTTCTTTGCATGCCAAAAATGAGTATAAAACTCCTGAAATAATGCAAATCAAAGAAAGCTTAGAAAGAACTCCCGTGTGCTGAGAGTATTGAAGACACATCAAAATTAATTCAAAATTACTTGTACTGAGATATTGATGGAAAAGCTGAAAACTAATTATGTAAATCAGGTAACTAATATGAACAGAACAGAACAAAAAAATTATGAATTATTATGCTAATTAGAGAATTAATATTAATCAAAATTAATCAGGCCTGTCTATTGTCCTAGAGCATTTATGTACCAAATTTTATTCAAATGTGATGATCTATAATTGAGATATCAGTGTTAATTAATTATGTTAATTAGGTGATTAATAAGCATAAATATTTACCAAAAAC